TACAGGCAGTCCCTGGGTTACGTACAAGATAGGGACTGTAGGTTTGTACTTAAGTCGAATTTGTACTTAAGTCGGAACTGGCGTCCAGATTCAGCCGCTGCTGAAACTGACCAGCGGCTGACTACAGGAAGCCCGAGGCAGAGTTTCTCTGCCCCGGGCTTCCTGGAATCAGCCGTTGATCAGTTTCAGCAGCAGCTGACTTGGGGACACCTGGGGTAGAGCACCTGGGGTGCTGCCGGGTTGGCCCACACAGCGCTGAGGTGCGGCGCTGCAGAGACCTACCCGGCAGTGCCCCAGCTGCTCTGTCCCAGGTGTCCAGATTCAGCTGCTGCTGAAATTGATCAGCGGCTGATTCCAGGAAGCCCGGGGCAGAGAAACTCTGCCTCGGGCTTCCTGTAGTCAGCCGCTGGTCAGTTTCAGCAGCGGCTGAATCTGGACGCCAGTTCCGACTTAAGTACAAATTCGACTTAAGTACAAACCTACAGTCCCTATCTTGTACGTAACCCGGGGACTGCCTGTATACAGCTCCTGACAAAACTGGAAAGAGTCCTACAATTTCCCCAGTTTTAGGTCCCAATTAGGGCTCAAATGTAGGTTTAAATCTACTGCTGGTCAGAAGTACACTTAAGCACATGCTTAACTTGAACCACCAACTCATTTACTTAGGAATTCAGCACATGCTTAAAGGTAAGCATGTGCTAAGGCTGTACTGGGAATAGTCACGCTTTTCTGAATTGAGACCTAAATTTCCATGACTTCTGCCATTCAGGCTGACGACTCACAAATGCAGCCATATCCAAAAGAACAAACCCAGATGCCAAACAAAAAAAAAACCAACCCCCAGTTATGCATGCAGAATTTGCTCAAAGTTCTGTGCAATTTATCATGTAAAAATTAGCCACATTAAACTAAGTAAGGATGCAAAAGTGAAGATACGTATTTTTTCTTAATGTAGTATGACGAAAATAATCTGCCAATAAGGTAAGATAATTATCAACTTAATAAGATTTCCTGAAAGAGGCAAATAACCCATTCTATAAATGAAATAAGTTAGGAGTTTCATTCAAAACAAAGAAATAAATCTTAATTTAGGATATTATGGGACAAATTAATACGTTGCTGATTAATTGTGCCATATCCAAGGCTGTAAAACTTTTTTTTTTAGTTCCTAGGGACAGAGTATTATATATTCAAAATGTAGTTTAATCACTTGATAAATCACTAGGATGTGTTTGGGGTTCTGGAATATGTAGCTCTACCATAATATAGAAAAGCAGCCAGAAAAGTCAGAATACTGTATTACTGAGAGAGAATCATGTTACAGCTAAACACTATTCAGTTTAATCTAACTTGTTTGAAATGTGCCTTTGCTTACAGTGTAAAACCAACTTAGTATTCAGACAGTATCACTGTTGCAGAGCAGCTGATATCAGAGGACTATAATTCAGGCAATTCATCTCTTTAATGGTCTGTTATTCTTTCTATGGGTCCATTAAACCTCTCAAAGTATTTTAACCTGTACCTTGCTAATCACACACCTTTACTTTATATATAAACTGAAAAAAGGGCTTACATTATCAAATACTTAAAAGGGATGCTACCAATGGAAGATATGAAAAACAAATGATACATATATAGAAAAAATACAGAGTCTCGTTTACTCGTTAAAAATGATGTGCTGGAAGGTCTGTTTTGATGTTGTGTTGATGTTTCTGTCTTCTCTGCAACAGGCAAACAAGCTTGTGTTTTCATCAGGCAACTGTCTCTGTGCTGGAGATGCCTTCACTGAAATGTAATCAATGAGGCTCCATGTGATTGCAAGGCTCTGCCTGTACAGATCTAAGATCGATATACTGGGTCATGTAGTGAAAGAGTGCACTGACTTTTTATAAAGTGCTAATAAATGTGCAAATGAAACTGAAAAAGAAACAGAGGAGCTGATTTTGGTTCTAGTAATTTTGTAGCTGGCCTACAATTTTCGGTTTCCTCATAACAGCATGCTATTAGCAGCCAGTTTAGTTTCTGGTTTGCCTTTTACAAAAGCAAACTGAGTTTTTAGTGTAATTCACGTGCGTCAATTTTATGCCTCATAATGGCTGAATTAAATTTGGATTTAATATATGAGTCACAGCATTTCTAAAGAACTGCTAAGCTCCTACCTAAGTCAGGGTGCACAGACATCTTAGGCCAGGTGGCTGTTCTCTGAAGTGGAGGACAAAAAGTTTGGCCTATGTCTCTGCAAGTAACGCGGCTATAGCTGGTAGGTACCCTCAAAACACATAATCATGACTCTGTAGGAGGACATCTGTGAGCTAATTAACATGTGACGTTCATCCTGGACTCCATGGAGGAATGATAGTTGGGCCTCTGTAGAGGACATGAAAGATGTTGACAGAGCCTATCAGAGAACAACTCATTTTGAAGATTACTTTCAAGTGTAATCAGGCAGTATGGAGAGGAAAAACACACACAACCTGGATCCTCAACATCCCTCAAATGAGTTGTGTGTTTGAATTGCTGTGTCGTATCAGAGATCGGATCTTGAGTGTTCTCCCAACTCCCAGCAGCAATGCTACAGTTGTCCCTATAAATCTTCTGGGACAGCAGCAACCCTGATAGGCCCTGTGAGTGGAAAAGAAAAAGGAAGGATGCACATGTGCGCATGTTGAGGAGAAAACTCATCCGCAAGTTCTCTCAACTAGCCTCAGCCACTCCGCTCATCCTGTCAATTCTACTGCTTCAGACACCCTTTCCTTATTTGGCCCCACCAGTTGAGAATCAGCCTGTCAGGTGCAGAGCCACCGTAGCCTCTTATGAACATGGAACCACGGGACAGAAACTGACTCAGTTTTAGTAGAGCCCACTAGAAAGAAAAACAGAGTTAATCCATTATCCAAAGAGCACATATAGGATCTTAGGGTACGTCTAGACAGCGAGGCTATTTTGGGATACCAGAGGTTCCCAAAATAGCTACCCTGCGTCTTTTAAACACGCCCGTTATTTTGAAATATTTTTTGAAAGAATAGGTATGTTATTCCAACATCTCAGTAAACCTTGTTCCGTGAGGGACAAGGGATGTCTCAAAATAGCACGCTATTTCAAAATTTGGCACTGTGTAGATGTGCCATATTTTGAAAAAAGCTATTTTGAAATACAATCAAAAGAAGATATGAAATGTGCATAGCGCAAATTGTGTATCTTATTTCAAGTTTAGCGTGCTGTGTAGACACACCCTTAGTCAGGAATCCATTGAGGGCTATCATCATCCTGCTGTCCAGGGCCTATAGGGGCATGTTGACACTGGAGAGTTATTTCAAAACAACTCTCCTTATTTCGAAGTAACAAGGTGAGCATCCATACCACCAAGCTTGTTATTTCTAAATAATGGGCTTTTTATTACAAAATAATAACTCCTGCTTGTGATGAGGAATAAGCTTATTTCAAAATAGTTATTTCAGGAGTTATTTCGAAATAACTTATTTTGAAATAACTTGGTAGTATAGACATAGCCT